TACAGGCTTGATAAAAGTATATCCCCAAAAAGGATCATTATGGTGGAGTGGTTAAAATGTCTGATATCTGTCATTACGAACAAAGGTTTCTTTAAGTTTCTTTTTCTGATGTATCAAATACCAATGTAAGACAATGGAAATTAATTACTTAAAAATCAGACGGTGATTTAAAAAAACAATAACAATCATTTGCGTTTTAGATTTCATCACTCGCAGTTGAAGAGTGTTCGATGATTTAAATGTATAGATATAATCAGAAAAAAACTATAAAATCTGAGGGAAAACTTGTCAGGTTAAATTATGTCCTCACAGACTAATTGGTTTGCTTAAACTTTGTTAAATGAAATGGGCAAATATAAAAATGTTAAGATGCAGCACGATAAGAGTGTGGTAGTTATATTAAGGGTTTGCACATTTATTTAACAAAGTTTTTAAACCTTTTAGATATTTTAATGTTTCACCCTTGGAAAGGTTGGCTTCTGAATAAAATAATCTGAAATGATATGCTTACAGGTTATGTAACCTGACATGAAATAATCCATCATGTATAGTTAAAGTTACAGTAACCCCTATTCTTGGATGTAGAGCCATTAGCTGCAGTTACATTTTTTCACCACTAGATGCTGCCACTGGCTTACATCACACACCTCCTGTTGGGTGAATTATTTCAAAATGTCAACAAGGTGATGCTCATAAAAGAGGGTGGGAATGAGATTAAGCTTTAGATCAGGAATTATTGAGCCATTTTTAAAGGAAAACAGGGATAAACATGAAAAATATAAAATACTTAATTAGCAGTTTTGTTTTTGCAGTGAAACGGTGTGATGCCAAAAACCTTACTTGCCTGAGGAGATTTTCCTTATGAGACTGGAGACTGCTTAGACATTAAGGAACTAATGGAAGCAGGCTGTGTGTGGAGTTTTAATGACTCAGGGCCCTAAATCTGTCTCATCGCTATCTGACCTTTCGGGTTCTATTCCCACTACACAAGTTTCTCAGTGTTTGACAACCAGTACCTCATTTTAAACTTATTTACATTGTGCAGAGGGTAGGGCTAAGGGGAGAATGATCTATTTGCTCAAGTGGAAAGGTCAATCTTTATAGAAGTGGGCTTTCCATTAGGTTGTAGTGGATTAACAGAAAGAAAAGATTAAAAGTGTTTTCAGGAATAAGGGACGTTAAAGGTGCAGCTCAATACATAATAATTTTTTTTTCTCTTTACTAACATTAAATCAGTCTAAATTTTCCAGGTTTATGCCCGTTCTAATTCTTTTTCACGTTCAAATTTTCATACAATTTAGTCTCCATTCCCTCAGAAAATGTTGAAAACCTCATCTAATCAGGTCATGACATTGATTAAAATCCATCCATGTGGATATTTACTTTAAGGCATTAATTAAATACACTTCCTCGTTGTATGATATGTTGCTTATGCATGAGGACAGTTATTAGTTGCCTGATGGTGCCAAATTCACCTGTTTTACACAATTAAACACTATTATAAACAGCTGAGGAATGTCCAGCCAGTCAGGGAGGAGGTGAGTTATATGTCCTAGAGATGCCTTTAGTGTGAAATGTGTGAATAAACCCCAGAACTAGGGTGAATAACCTTGTGAAAATGTTTGTTAAAGCTGGTATGGAGTCATTATTCATAGTGAGATGAGTCCTGTACTGACATGGCCTGAATGGCAGCAGAGAAGGGAAAAGCCTTCACTTCAAAAGCAATATTTAAAACCAGATTATAGTTTATACTTGCACTGGGAGACAAAGACAATAATATATGGAGATATTTCCTTTGATCTAAAAAAAATAAAGCCGAAGACTTTGGTCTTTTATTATTTTATTGTACAAGTCTGAGAATATTATACCACATTGCAAAAAAATTAAAATCTTATTTTCCTTGAAATAAGTGCATTTTTTCTTGAGTTAAGCAGGTAAGTAAGACTCTTTGCCAATGGAACAAGACAATTTACAGTTGAAATAAGAAAAAACAACTGAATTGTCTCATTTCAAGTCCATTTTATCTAACTATCTTATTTGAAATGTAAAAATACTAATTCCATGAGCAGATCATCTTATTAACATACTCATATTAAGGGTGAATGCACACATTTTAAGAAATTTCTGCTTATGTTTAGAAGTTTTTGCAATTTTTAGTAGTTTTTGCAGTGCAGCTCTGAAGTGCTGCATGTGTGTGTGGGTGGGGGTGGTGCTGCATCATCTGGTTGCGTTTCTGCTGCTGTAGATAAATTGCATCAAGAGAGAAGAACAATATTTGAGAATATTGAAACAAAATCTCTTAGCATCAAGCATGAGGTTGAAGCTTGAGCTTATATTGTCTAAGTAAGCAATGGCCATGATTTTCATATATTTTTATACATATATTAATCATACTAGTAATCCTAACTAACCCAAAAACAACACATATTTGCATATTTTTTGATTATTATTAATTTTCTACAAAGTGTGTTTACTAATCCCAGTGTGTCTGTGTGCTTTCTTCCAACTGTTGCTCAGTATTAACCTAAGTAACAAACATCTCCGCTTTAGTTTCTGGATGAGTTCTAATAATGACTGATGGGAAAATTGCTCCAAGGCCACCAGAGTCTACTTCACAATAAGCTCAATGACTCTTACTTGTCCTCCAGAGCAAATAACCTGTGACACAGAAATGTCCCACATTCACCTATTTAATGGGTATGATTGCTGGTTGGGTTTCCTCTGTTTGTCTGTTTCTGACGGGTAACAAATTACTCCAGCCATCACAGGATATGTCCAAAACCATGACATTCCTGACAGGGTAATCATCCTAATCAGAGCTACCAGCTCTACTGATGCAGCCTGAAAGAACAGGACACCTGAGAGAAAGTGTGTGTGTGTTGGGGGGGCCTCTGAGCTTTCTGCTATGTTCTACTCTGGTGTCATTTAACTCAAAGGCCTGCTTTCACTCCCGCAAATTTGAGTTATTAAAGCAAATAGAGCCAGCCAACATGTGCCTGCAATCCCCGGCTTCTCTGAAGGGTAAACACTGGGGCATCAGGCTTGGGTGGGGGAAGATGAAGGGAATATCGCCCCCTCCAAAGAGCAGTAATCATGACAGGCCTCATTTGAACTGAGAGAAAGGTATATTTATGACACGTGGAAAAAAAGAGGATTCAGTAAAGTAGGGGCAAAGAGACGGGTACTGTAAGTGAAAAATGGGCCCAAATGTTAGCTGTCCAGACAGCATGCTATAACGACTACTTGATGAAGATGCTGCTGTATCTTCAGGCTTTGACCCGAGTAACCATGGGAGACTGGGAACAGACGTCTGGCAGTGCTGCGTGTTTGACGAGCGCAGCGACTGACGGGACAGTGCCGCTGGATGAAGATTCCCAGCGTCTGTGTGTGTTCGGTGCGCAGCGATAACTCAATAATGGCAGCTTGAGAGTGACTATCCCCTCCAGCTCTTTGATTAAACAGCTGCTGCATAAACAAAGATGCACGGATCCACTGACAGCCACGCAGGGATCCCATCTGTGCATTTATGGGTTTAGGTAGTGTGTGTTTTTTTATGTGGCATTTATAGTGGGATAAGAGAGAGTAATCATTCGGTTGAGTCTGTGTATATATGTGGTTGTTTGGTGAGCACTTCTACCCATGAATAGACCCCTCATTTGTGTGTTTGCACAGCCAGATATTTTCCTCCTATGTTTGTTTTTTGAACTTCAACACTTTGGTTAATATGGCACCCAAAATGCTTCAGATTCTA